AAGTGTTTCTATCAAATTAACGCACAAAAGACTTGCAACTTATGTTCCAAACTTACTCTAGCATGGCAATTCTATGAATGTAAAGACAAGTATTGAATTGCTCAAAGTAAATACTTAAAGTAAATGCTCAAGGTAAATGGAGAGAGGAACGCGGCGATGTTTTGCCGAGGTATCGGAGAGTCGCCACTCCCCACTAGTCCTCGTTGGAGCACCCGCGCAAGGGTGAAGCTCCCCCTTGATCCGCGCAAGGATCAAGTGCTCTCTACGGGTTGATTCTTCGACACTCCATCGCGGCGAATCACCCAAAGCCGCTCACAACTTGAGTTGGGTCACCCACAAGCTCCGTCGGGTGATCACCAAGCTCCCAATCACCACCAAGCCGTCTAGGTGATGGTGATCACCAAGAGTAACAAACACGAACTCTCACTTGACCACGCGAAGCCTAATGAGAAGGTGGATGCACACTTGACTACTCTTGATTCACTAATGAGGCTACTCTCTTAGATTCTCTAATCTCAATCACCTCACTAGGACCTTACTCTTCTTGGCACTCACAAACGTGTTTCTCAGCTGTTGGAATGAGCAAAAGCGTCTCCACACACGAGTGGAGCTTCTATTTATAAGGCAGCCTAAAAAATGAACCGTTATGAGCTTCTGCGGGGTGACCGGACGCTCCGGTCATGTTGACCGGACGCTCCGGTCAGTTCAACCTGTGAACCAGTAAAAATGTATTGACCGGACGCTGGCAGGGTCCGGTCAGCACTGACCGAACGCGTCCGGTCGCATAAAACCCTTACTGGAACCTTACTGGACTCGACCGGACGCTGAACCCTCAGGGTCCGGTCAGTACCGACCGGACGCGTCCGGTCGCAGATTCCCTTCACTGGAACCTTTCTGGAGTCGACCGGACGCTGTCTTTCAGCGTCCGATCACTTGACCTCTCCAGCGTCCGGTCTCACCGAACGCAGACGTTGATCAAATGAACTGACCGGACCCTGCGGCCAGCGTCCGGTGACACCGGGGCCAGCGTCCGGTCAGTGTTTGACCCTCCATTCACTTCCAACTTCCGAACATATGTGAATGAAGTTTGCTCCAAAGGATCTTAGGCATTCATAGGAGCTACCTAGAGCTAGTTTTGACAAGTGTGCACCACACCTAACTCACTAGACTCAACTAGGTCAAGCTACCCATCCATACCCCCCTTAATAGTACGGCCAAAGGAAAAACAAAGTCCTAAACTACTCTAAGTGTCTCTCCAACTCCAATCGACACTTAGAACTAGTCATCCTTAACCTTGTCGTCCATCCTTTAAAAACCGAAACGATTTCCATTGAGGGGGCATGACAACTTTGATTGCCTAATTGATCTTTGTTACCATGACCTAACTTAATTGCCTCTGCAAAACACACGTTAGTCATAGTTATCTTGTATTGTCATTAATCACCGAAACCCAACTAGGGGCCTAGATGCTTTCATCAACAAATGAATTGCTCTACTAGAGAGCCATTAAAAGCATCATATGACAAACATGATAATTATCAAGTAAAACTAATTAGCCACTTTCAATTTTTCACAAAAATACCTATTTGTGAGTCATTTAGCACAAAACAAACAAAGTGGCTATCCTATAACGGTTTAAGTACTTGTTACCAATGGTGAAGATGAAGTAAATGATATATTCATTAAATTATCTTTGGGTCAACCATATAGGAGATTATGATGAGAATTGATTGATAGATTGAGTGAATATTTTTAATTTACTTGCTCAACCACCCTGAATCCTTCATCTCATCACCAAGTACCTACATCATTAACCTAAGCACACTTTGGTACCCAACTCTTGTTAGGTCCTTTTGAGTTAGTCAACAAGTGGTTAGGCACCCAAATGGCTTTAGTACTAGTTTGTGGTGAACACATCACCTTGCTAGTGCTAACTCCATTTGTGGTCTTCCTAAGCATATCATTATAAACAAATGTGTTCAGCTTAGGAGCGTTACCATTTGGGCATTTGTTTGCTCTATGCTTGTTTTGCTTGTATGGACATCTATCAATCTTGTGGCCCATCTCATTGCATCCATAGCATCTTCTTATTGCAACTTGGACTTCCTTTCTTGCCTCTTGATCCATTGGGCATTTCTTGGTAGGATGCCCCACTTTCTTGCTCATGAGACAAGCGCTTTGTCCATCACTTTTCTTTTCGTTGGCCAACTTGTTTGATGCCTTTTGTTCGGCCGCTTCACACTTGTCGGCCCAACTCTTGTGTGGACACATAGCCCACTCATGTCCATACAATCCACAACCATAGCACATCCTTTTTCTATGTTTCTTGCTCTTGGTTGTATTGGCCTTGCTTGAAATGTGATTCTTTTGTTGGGCTTTGGAGGAAGCAAGGTTTGAACCCTTCTCAAGCTTCTTCATCATGTTATCACGGTTATCTTGAGAAGGTTGTGCTTTCTCCTTACCCTTCAACCGAATCACATCTTTCTTTAATCTTTCCACCTTTTCTTTGAGCTCTATGTTTTCTATGAAATTTAGCTCAATCGAAGATTGGCTTGCTTGAGGAACACATTCATTAGTACAAGAAATATTTAATTGAGATGGTGTACTAGTGAGTGAATGTGTGAGAGGATGAGAAAATTTTACCGATGTGATCACAACCTCATGAGCCACCTCAAGCATGATGCTTGATTCTACTACTTCCTCATGTGAGCACTTGAGATGAATATAGTTTGCTTGTTGCACATCATACTTGCTTGATAGTTCATCTAGCCTTGCCTTGAGCTCAAAATTTTCCTTCTCTAGTTGTGAAACACTAGAAGGGGAGTTAGTAACTAAAGCATGCTCAAATGATAATTTTTCATACCTTTCACTTAGAGCCTTTAGTTCTTCCATCTTGGAGATGAGAAACAATTCTTGCTTTTGAAGTGATTGCTCTTGCTTCTCAATCTCTTCTTCAAGCCCATTATTCTTTTCAACTATCTTCATGATGATGAACTTGTCTTTGCAGTTGAGATGATCAAGGTTGTAGTTGTCTTCAACTTCAACATCATTCTCATCTTGATCATCTACTTGTGCTTTCTCCTTTTCTTGATCTTTCTTGTTACTCTTCTTCCTGCTTTTCTTGGCCATGAGACACAAGTGATGAGTATCATGAGATACTGAGGTTGACTCATCACTTGGTCGCCACTGGGTTTGAGCATCGTTGCAAACAGTTGCTTGCTGCTTCGCTGCCTCGGCCATACTGCAGGTAGACAGCAAGTCATGCGCTGCTTGCACTTCTCGCTCCGGCTCGGCGCTCTTGAGGTCTTGTGAGGCTTCTTCGCTGTATGAAGACACAATGGACATACTTGCCATTGACTTGATCTCAAGTGCATCATCATATTTGGATTTTCCATATAAATAAAAAAGTCTAGTCCAAATAAGATGAGCACTCTCCGGAGATGGTTGTCCATTGAAGATTGCCTCATCTTGAACCTCTACACTCAATGTACTCAAAATAATATTAATAGCTTGAGCATTGAGTTGCACGCATATCTCTTCCTCTTTTGACAAATTTTTGTAGTTGCTCCATTCAACTATAGAAAGAGGTATGCTTGCATCCACAATATGCTCAATAAGAGGGCTAATATCTCTAAAAGCATTGAGTACATGTATTGACCAAGGTAAAAATTTTGAACCATCATTTTGGAGAAGCACCGGCTCCAACTCGATAGGCGTCGACATCCTTTTCTCACGACGGTGAAGCTTTAGGTGAGAACCTTGCTCCGATACCAATTGAAATGACCTAGGATGCCGCCTAGAGGGGGGTGAATACGTGTTTCTGAAAATTAACACCTTTAAATACGGAAACAATTAGAAAAGGGAGTTTCCAAAATGAAAACTCCAAATTAAGAGTAATACCACCCCTCACAAGTTAGCCACAGAGTAAACAAGGTATAAATAATATATCTAGAAGCTACAATCCTGCCACACAAAGTTAGAACATAGATCAAATAATATTCAGCACTTAGCAAACGGGTTAGACCTTTAATCACGTTATCATTCAATCATCCAAAACCCATTAAAGGGCTAGATGCACTTTCAAAAACGCTCAAGAAACCACTTTAAAATGGTCAAATGGTATATTTATATGATTTTAAGAATTATGTGGTGCATATTGTCCAGTATTGAAGTTCGAGTATGTCTTTCAAATTCAGCAACTAGCTCAAACGGGTAAATCAGACTTTACTCTATTAATTAATTAATTGGAGACGTTTTGAGGATTTCATGATCTTTGAGCTAGAAGGGGAGAACACAGACAAGAATTGGATGGGAAAAAGTTTTCTAGTCCATATCTCCAGGTCCTTCACTGTTCCTACTATATTTTGCATTTTAGTTCCTAAATACATATACGGTATTTAAACCTCAACAGGAAGAGTGCTAGCCAGCTAGCCGCGGCGCTTGAACAAAGAGACTCGATCACGGCCAGAATTTCCTCAGGGCATGTTCGGTTAAGCTGAAACCTTGCCAGGAATAATTCCAGACGACGAAATTAGAATACAAATCTTGCCTGGTATATTTCCAGGGAGCCATTCCCCTTCGTCCGAACGGCCCTCAGATTAACGCTGCAATTTGCAATGCCGCGAAAGCAGGGTGTTATTGTTATTTTCTGAATAAGGAAGCAGGGTATTATTCACCAGCACCTAGATGAGTACACACGCTATTTAGCAATTTGCACACTACGTCCACAGTCAACAGTGTCTTTACAGGTCACCACTGCGATCGGCTACGTATGCTGTGCACGTGAATTCTGTACACAATCAGAGTAGAGCCACTCCGTTTAACGCTTCACACGTTATTCTCTCTCTCCAAGAGAGCACGACTGCACGAGCAACGACCAAGGAGAGCTAACTAGAACTGACAGAGGCTGCATCGGAGCTTCGGAGGCTTCGTGTATTCGGGGCGATGCTTTTATTGGTCGTGAGGGACCGCAACAAATAACCAGCTACAGTCTCTCGTCCTCACTGGAAATCGTCGGCCGAATCGTCCGTCGGCTCCCAGTACCGGTTGGTGAACCACATGGAGTCGGCGGCCACCGCGCTCCCGTCCTGGTTGCGGTGCCACGTGTAGTACGCGTGCGTCCGGTTCTTGATGTCCAGGATGGCGTGCCCGAAGCTCGCCTCCCTGAAGGCCGAGTAGCTCGGCTGCGGCTGCGACATGCTGCGATTTTTTTTTTCCGAGCAGAGCCAACGCATTGTTTGGTCAGGACATGAGGGAAATATGAACAAGCCATCTTCGCGAAGCTCAGGAACTGGAAATGCAGTAGTGTCTTATCTTACTTGGTAGCCAGTCCTTCCTGGTTCCCTCCATCGCCAATGGTGATGTAGACTGGGGCCGATTGATCAGGGATTGGAGTGCACAGGCCATTCACAACGTTGTACGCCACATTTGATATCCTGTGCTGCAATCAGAAAATATTAATCTGCGTTACGGAACTCAGGATTATGATATTGTTCTAACCAGAGTATTGACGCCTAGCAAATTGAACTGAAAAGCTTTCATTGAAATGGAGACAAAGATATACACAAATAACTCTTGGTTGTTCTTTTTTAGAGGTTCAGTGCATATATTCATTAGGTTTACAGCCGAGGAAAGCCTCACCAGCGCACAAACACTAAATCCTACTTAGTATAACTCCCAGAAGTCCATAGCAGAGTGAAAAAACAACAACCATTTGCAGCAGAAGAATTTGATAGTACAGAGCTGCTTACTGTGCGTTCGTAGGCGTGGACATGTCCTGCAAACACAGCGTCAACTTTGTACTTCACGAACCACGGTTCATACATCACCCTCATGGTTTCACCTTCCATATAGTGATAGTTGTAGCTATTGTACCATGGAGCATGCATGAGGACAATCAACCATGGTGTTTCACTCCTGTTGACCTTGGGAAATTCAGCTTCAAGCCACTTGTACTGAGGAGTGTATTTTCCTGGAAAAGGAACAATAGCATTTATAGATAACCCTAATTCATTCTAGCTAGTAGCAACCAGAACATATGTGCATATTGACAGTGTATTATTTTACCCAAATGAAGCATATGACCAAATTATCTTATATCAAATACTCACTGGCATAGTGCATACTTGCAATAAAAGGACTAAAACACAGCATCAGTCCAACATACACATACCGTATGCTGAGTATGATGCCAAGACAATAATGTAGGCTGAGGCCCTTTTGATGGAATACCAGTAAGGTGCCGTGCTACCAGAAGCCTTGTAGGGTGTGGGATACCTGTGGCTGAATGGCTTGAATGGCTTTGTTTCACCCTGCAAATGTATGCAACTGAATGAACATTTCAATGCCTATAACATGGCTCTAGTGAAATATCTACTTTTTGAACTGCCAACACACCCATTGAGACAAATCATGGTATGACTACATACAAGTTCTGGAGCGAAATCTATCTCATGATTTCCAGCAGTCCAGATCCAAGGCTGGTATGCGACATTCCTCTCTACAAATCTTGCCCATGTATCCCACCTCACATTATCATGGTATGGGTAGTTATCTGCATATGATAAATCCCCAACAAAAAGCACTGCCTGTGCTTTTGCATTGGACTCATAATGAGTCAGCGTAACATTGGAATCGAAGCTCTGACCAAGATCACCTGAACAGAATTGTCAAGTTTCAGTAATATAATAAATCCTAGATTTCAGCGATGATCAATAAAGTCATAGCCTCATCATATTGGGAAGCACCTATGAGACCAAACGTATATGGAACATCTGGGCCACTTTCTGGAGGAGTCATAAACCAAAACTTCCTCACCGTTTGTCCAATCCCAACAGCATAGTAATACTTTGTGTCAAACTGAAACAAAGATGGGTATCCAAGTGAGATTCTATATGAGGAAGAAACAAACATACGTACGACCAAAATTCTGATGAGATGGTGACCTCCAACTTTTTTATTGTGCAATGATGAATGTATCCTGAGGTGTAGTTGTAGAAAGTATACTGAGTATGCTTCCCATTTGCAGTATAGTTGAGGTTGTCCTCTGAAGTCCCGTAGATCACAGTACTCGAGCCAGGCTCACTTGTTGTCACCCATGAGATTATCATGGCTGTGCCATCATGATTGCCTTGTGTGATGTGAACCTTTGACAGCACAAAATCAATCAGCATCAGAGTGGAGATACCCCACTGACTATATGTGAGCACAACAGCATAGAAAAAATAAAAAGGAATGGACGTCAGCCTTGTGCAAAAGGCATTGTAATATTTAATAATTCTATGGAGTAAGATGAAGCAAGAACAAAAAGGTTAGGACAAAAGTAAACACAAAGAAGTCCACAAAAAGGTGTCCTACAGCCTATAAGTAACGGTCAAACTCGAACATAAATATATATGATGGAAGGCTACTCTAGAAGTTCTTGGTAACTTTAAGAACGACTAAAGCAAAACAAATTAGCAAAAAGGTGGTACGGAACCAGTATTTCTAATTCAAGAGCACTGAACTCTTAACGTTTAATTTGTGGCCAGGGATTAAGGATGCAAAAGTAGCCTGAAAAGCGTAAAATACATATAAGAAGCACTGAAAAAGACCCTACACTTTCATGGTTGCAGTATAAATCTGTAACTTGCAAATTGCAATCATGAAGTAGGTTCAATCAAAACGTGCTAAGAACATAGCACAGGCCAACGAAATACTACAACAGATAAATGGTCATCTAAAGAGAAAACTAGGGAATTAGAAGATAAAAACGGTACAGATTTTCTAAAAGGCAGAGCTCAGCATTCAGTATAAAGGAAACCACAGGAACATCGTCTTTTTTTTGGTGATAAAGGATGTTAGATTAGTATGACAAAATGGACAATGACTAACTGTTGTGGTCTATGTGTTCTAGAAATAACATTCTAAAATGGTCCACAAACTATCTTCAAAAGGCTTTTCAGTAGGATAGCTGACAGGAGCATATGCGGGCAAACCATGCAAGTCCACTAAAAGGACATAGATTTTCAGATGGAAATATTTGAATTCAAGAAAACAGTGTGACTAATCGGAGGGAAGTTCCAAAGGAACCAACAGTAAAAACTTCACATGTACTACTGGGAAAGAATTTTCTTGTCTCAGGCTAGGCGCCTAGCTAGTATTCACATGGGAAGCATGTAACTAGCATGGATTTAAAATGACAAGCATACTACATACAAACGATCGGGATTAACGACAACTGCAGAATATAACCAAACAGACGCTGACAAACAAAATACAGATTCCCTGGAAGCACCAAAGATTCTGCAGAACATGGCAATCCACTATACCGACTCTGGCCACTCGTGCCTTTCACGTCGCAGCGACCACTACGGAGCAACAAACCCGTGTGCTACCGGACGCGAAGTCGCGAACAGTTTACATACTCTGAAAGGAACGATTACATACTCTGAAGTCAAGAAAGCAGTCGTGAAGAGCATAACGCGGGGGCCATCCTATTCCTATCGAGCGGTTTACCTGCTCGGGCGCATTGTGGCCCGGGGGAGGGCGGAAGACATCGGCGTCGAGTGGCATGTCGATGGCGGAGCCGAGTTGGCGCCGGTACTCGCTTGTCTGGCCGGCCTGGGCGCCCGGGCACACGACGCCCACAAGCAGCAGGGGAAGGAGCGCGACCCAGGCGAACGCCGCCACGGCGCCGATCTGGTCCACGCCGTGCCGCCCCATTCTTCCCCGAAGCGGCGGCGCGGGGACGGCAGTGCCTCCTGCGTTCCGTGCTCTGCTTCTAGGCTTGGCGCCGCGGCTTGCTGGAGGTTGTATTGGACGGGAGAACGGGAATGGGATCGCGTGTTCGACTTCGTGCTCGGAGATGGATCGACTTTCTGGGTCAAAGCGTGCGGGGGAACGGAGCGGGGGGTTGGAGATGGAATATGCTGATCTGAGGTGCCAAGAAATAATTTGGCACGGAGAGGACGGATTGGCTCTGGGTTTGAACACGCATGCAGAGACGGAAGAGTGAAGACGGCGGAGAGGGACCTAGGGAGCGGAGACCGGAGAGAGACTGATAGAAAACGGAGGAGGAGGATTAGGCTGTGTTTAGTTGGAGGTAAAGTTGGAATTTGGATACTGTAGTACTTTTGTTTTTATTTGGTTAGTGTTTAATTATGGACTAATTAGGTTTAAAACGTTTGTCTCGCGATTTTCAACCAAATTGTGTAATTAGTTTTTTTTTCTATATTTATTGTTCCATGCACGTATCGTAAAATTCGATGTGACGGATACTATAACACTTTTTTGGAATTATTTTTGGAACTGAACACGCGCTTAGTTTTTTAGGCAAATCTATAGGGATTGGAGACGGCCAAGTGGGACGGATTTGGGAGAGGACCTTCGAATGGGAAAAAAAATCACCTTGGGATTGGGATCGACAAAGAGGAACATTTTTTTCCCACAGGCGCAGTGGCAGCGGGCAGCGGCCAAGGTTCTAATATCTGCCCTTTTTTTTTTGAACAAGGAAGTATTTTATTCATTGTAGTATCTGCTACTTGTGTTTCAGTTTATATGGTAACAAGACTGTGACGACCAATAGTGACTACTCCTTCCATTTCAAATTATCAGGTGTTTCGTTTTTTCTAGATATATTACGTTTATGTTACTATGTAGAGTGTATTTTTCCTACTCTCGGAAGTAGTTACTCTTATCTTTAATAAACCACATTACGTATGTGCGCAAACTCATTTATCGGTTTGAGTATGTTTATATACTCATTTTATGATACTCTAAATCTTACTATATGAAATTTTATAAAAAGAACCCATATTGTTTAATATATTGTTTTAATAATATTATAGTAGTATATAAACTTGACATATATACTACTCTAGATGGTCTGGTATGATCATATACTTCGTCTATACACTTCATCGGGCCATATACACCCTAAAGCTAGAGATATGGATATGAGAGTAATTACTCGCTGGGAGTATGAAATAATTTCCCTTTATCTAAACATAGTATATATCCAAGTACATAGCAAAAGCTATTATCTAGAAAAGCTAAATATCTTATAATTTGAAATGGATGGAATTATACTACTGTGTGGCACTACAAGAAGATTTCTTTCTTAGCCAAATGGCATGAGGTTATATCTACACCCTGGGTCATGAATAAATCACTTTTTAAAGTTGTCTTTAAGTCAAATCTTTTTATATTTAACCAGATTTATTGAAAAGAGTACAAACATTTGTGACACCAAATAGACATATTATAAAAATATATTTTATAATGTATTTAAAAATATATTTTACGTCTTGTAATTTGGAACGGAGAAAGTAGCTTTTACTAGGTGGTGTTTAACAAAAACTATATACTAGTAAAATCAGAGCGACTTGCCATTTAGAATTGATGTAGTATTTGAAGACGTCATGATAGTGATTACGGACGAGGTGCCATCTCTTTCTCTGATTTTGTCACTTCTCCTGCTTGTATATATAAAAAAAGCATCGTACCATTACCATTAGAAGGTGATTACGATGGTTTTTGAGCTAAACACGTTGGCATGCAGTTTCTACGTTTTATTCGTATATTATAGAGAAAACGCCTCTAGCTACTCCACTTCAACAGATGCTGCTTATTCGTACTTGGAACGGGCGTACACGCAACTTCCAAGTTCAACCCGCGTACATATGCATACATGATCGGTCCACGTCGGCGTGCACAGAAGATGGTACTATCCATAACATAGTGTGAAAGGGAATTATCTGCGCTCCCCGATCGATCGTTATGACTCCCATGTTTAAGAGACTCTCCATATCCTTTTTAATTATTAGGAATGTAGTTTTTTGGTAAAAAAATATCTTTAAATAGCTTTTTAAATTGGTTATTCAAATATAACAATCTTCTATTCTGGAATTCTTGCTGGCCAAAAACACAAAACCAGAATGGCTCTATAAAGTGCACAAGATTAAAAAACTATTAGAGAGTAAAAAAATATATAAAATAATTTTTATGCAAATAACTCTTTAAATGATAAATTAAAGAGTGAGTTTCGGAAAGACTCTCGAAGATGCTCTAATAATTAGTTTCTTTGGATCTAAACGTGCTCAACTAATTGTTAACTAATACTCCTACCTAACTGACAACTTCCTCACTAGTTGAGCCAAACTGGCACAACGCAAAGATGCCTGAACAGGCGTTTAAAAAAACCTAATTTGTTTTTCTACAAGAGTCCTAACCTACAATGGAGTAAATTAAACTTTGGCGCTAATCTAGGCTATATAACCGTTAGTTTTCATACTTAATCACAGGTGCCAGCTGCTTAACTTGGCAGCGAACGCAAACACAAGCACCCTATGAGCCTCCGTCGTGGTAAAAAAAAAGCACATACTACATGCAAGCACCGGTGCAAGCGCCCGCACTGTATGTGCCATAGCAGCTAATAATTACCTGGATCTAAACATGACCTTATTGGTTCTGTTCGCTTATCTTAAAATCAGTATTTTTTAGTTTATTTTTTTCAGTCGGAACAGTATTTTTCTTTCACAACAAATCTGTCGGAAGAATGTTTTGACTTGTTTTTTCAGCGAAACGAACGGGGCCATTAATTTTTAAAAGGTCACGTACAAGTGGGCCTCCATCAGGTGTCCCGTCTAAAAACTTCATTATTCGCTTGCCTCTCTCTCCCGCGCTAATCCATTTTTCTCTAATTGTCGGTTGGCGCCACGCAAAGACTTCATGTTGGGCGGCTGCTTTCATGGGCGCTGTGTCGCGGATGCAATCCTACTGCATGGTCGTTGACTTCGTCGCACAGGTCAACCGCACCGCCGATTGCGGCGGCACAGCTGCCACCTTCCATTCCATAATAAATGGGCGGTGATCACAGAGGAGTGTCGATCTGTGGAAGGCGGAGACCACGGTGGCCAACAAGAAGAGCTACAGGGAACAGGTGGAGATGTTCGTATGTGTTCTTACAAAGTATTTGACGAGGTGATCATGGGAAGGAATGATATGCTGGGATCCTAGACAAGGCTCTAACCTGATGATGAGGTGAGTTTTAGATTAGCCATTGGATCAATCAATTAACTGACCTAGCTTGTGCAGGCCAGAGATCTTTAGAATTAATGTTGGGTTTTATGCTAATTATGTTTAATCAGTTGAGGATTTGTTTTTGCAAATGGTGTAAGAATATAACAAAATGTTGACATGTATATGTAGATGTACATATTTGAGCTCATTGTTCATACTTCGTGAACACTTATGTAATAGTGACGATTGACTAAAAATATATTACGAAAGGTCACATTTAAAACAAGATTTGTGGTAACGGTACAACACGCGTCCAATCTCAATTATCAGGCCTTATATTGTGTTCTCGTGCAACACAAGAACATAAACACAGTAGATTGATATAAAGGTAGTCCCAACCTAGGAAGTATGATGGTTTCTATGGTCATCAATTAGGGTGCCAACTAAGCAAAATAATAGATGTGCCATTGGAATAAGGAAGAGAGAGAAGAAAATGATTTCTTGTACAAGAAATTATGTCTACATGGAACTAATATATGAAAAAGATGTGATAGGCAGGTGATAGATCAAAGAAAGAAAACATATGATTGGATAAAAAACATTTTTCAAAAATATTCCATTACGAATATGGTTTATGACTGTCTTGTCCAAAAATAAGTCTCCATCTCATTTTTTGAGAAGAATCTCAACTTTGACTAGGTTTAAAGAAATTAACATATGTATCAAACATATTTTTTTAGATTGTTTGACTCCTTGAAATGTGAAATAGAGACTTATTTTCGGACGGAGGGGAGTACTATATGTTGACGACCAAAACATGATCTAAGAGTTGAAGATGGACTGAAAAACACGTGAACAAGAAGGGAACGAAAAGGATCAAATTTGGATTGAATTCGACGAAGTTTGCAACACCCTGGAAAAATAGGACCATAACGGTTTTGGAAACAAGCCCATGACAGTTTGTGCAGACTAAACAAGTCCAAGCCGGTTTTGCCTGAGTCCTCGCTTTGCACTTTGGAAACTAGCTCAAGCCGATTTTGGGGGTCTGAACTCAAAGTCATGTTTTTTTGGAAACTCATCCGATCTTGTGGTAAACTTGTAAGTTGTGTGTGGTCACGTTTTTCTACTGGGACCACCTCCTCTATTTATATGAAAAGATCAGGACTGATTGAGAATGCATCTATCCAATTGACAAAAAGAAAACATGTTCTGCACAGTTTACCCTCTCTTTTCCTATCTACTACTCCTCCTCATTCTTTGTTGCTGCTGCATGGTGGCGGGTTGTCCAACGATGATGAAGATCTAGAGTGGTCAAGCCGACTAGGGTAGCTCATCACCGCCACACGCCCCGACAGGGTCCCTTTCGGGAATGTGGGGTTTCGGCCTTTCGGGTTTTAAGAGACCTCATCAATGTGTCTTGTATATCGCACTCTCGATGAGACTCCTCTGGAGAGGTGTCTTGCATATCGGGCTCGTGGCACCAGATAAAATGTTCATCTACGACTGTGAGCACGTTGTAGATGAAAAATGACCTAAAATTCAGCTAGACCGGTCTTTAACCTCGCCTGTATCGAGCGATCTAGCTCTTTATCCATGTGGTGCCCTAGTTAGCGTCAACACCTAGGAACGGACCACGTGGACCAAGAAACACGATCGTCTTGCCTCCGGCCTCGTCTAGACTAGCAGTTGTAGCAAGGATGGACCAATCGGCGTGCGCTCGCCTTCAACTCCCGTTGTCCGCTTCCGAATCCTAAGCTCGTGGAGACCTAGACCTGTATCCTAGCCACGCCGACTCTGCTGCTGCCATGGACATCACTACATCAGGATCAGATCGAATTTTCCTCAACGTACACGCACCGAGTGTCCGAGTCTCAACTTGCTGCGTTCACTTCCTCGTTACGATAAGAAAAACACCGGCGGACTTTAGCCCCTTTTTTGAAACGAGACTTTAGCCCTTTACCAGGGGGCAAAGCACGTTGAATGAAAGCTGACTCTTCAAATCCAGAAGCTCAAACAAAACGAGGGGTGCCAATATTTTCCGTGGATTCGCGCGCCGGTTTCAACATTATCGCTCCGGTGTCGCTCATTTGAGTCAAAACAAAAGCAACGGGCGTGGAACATACAAATTTTATCCGGCGCCTATCCGTGACGGGCATTGCCATCTTTGCTCAGTGCCTCGGTTTCGTTCGTAAGCAATGGATTCCATTCCATGCTGGTCACCATCGCGATCCGGGCGGCGATACCATGCGTGAACGGTGAACCGACAGGAGGGATTGTGTGGCCCGAAAGAGTCTCCAGATCCTACACGGACATTGAGCTGAAAACTACAGGAAAACACGGCAACAAACAAGCTCAGAACTCTCCCGCAGAACCAAACACGCCTCACAAATGCTACTAACTCGGAGGAATTCTGACTTCACCACATGTGGCCCGCGCCCGAGAAACAGATAAATTGATCTAGCAACAGAACAGATCAAATGGTAGATATTCGTAAGATTTTTTTTTTTCCAAACCGATCCCTTGGCACCTGAAGATATATTTTCTCAGTGGATCAATGTTTCATGAACATATAAAAATGTATAACACGTTGAGAACTTATACTGGCAGAGGCTGCGCCCAGGCTCCACACAGGACTACTCACTAATCGTTACTGCACTCCCGATGCCATATCTTGTTCCGTCAGGTGACGGTGGGCAACATATGCAAAAGAATGTGGCTTCTCTCCATGGCTCTTCTACCAATTTCCTGTTTTTCGGGTCTTGTAACTTCAGCAAACAGGTGGATACAACAACAGCTTGTATTGGACGGAGCCGATGTGCCATGTGCCTACTTGTTTGCCATAGATGAGTCCATAACACTGCACGACTTGTCCATGAACTGCAAAAGTGCAGAACAGTAATATTAGAACAGGAAGCATGATATTTGTGAAAGTAACTTTCTAAGGAAGGCAATAATGAGAACGAGAATCAAAGATTCGGTCTTCACAACAGTAGAGTAGCTAACGTTCTAACACTGCAACTATCTTCTGCTTAGGTCTCTTATTGAGCAGAGCATAAGAACATATATGATCTAAGCAATTCAATTATTGCACAATTGATTAGCAAAAACAGCTCGGGAATCTGCATATACTCTCCAAAAGCTAAGAGGATACGGATCAAGGTCTAAACAGTCAATGAGCCGGAGACCATGGGCCCAACAGAGCCAAATCCCCTCTCCAACACCACTAACTACTAAGAGGACCTGAACTGGCATAATGGCTAGTTCATTGCCTGCCTGACATAAAGTGTAGAATCATGGTTACATGTACAAGACCGGATCCTATATGATGTCTCTTCTGACAAGGTTAAATGGACAGCACATATCAGTATATCACTGCTCTAGCACTACCCTGGTCTCACACAAGTGAGACTCTTCTCTAAAACTACATTCATTTTCGAAATGAATCCAGTGAACTAGGATCTATGCCTGAGTAAGAAATCTTAAACAGCAAATTAATTATCCTCTTGATTTCTTCAAATTACTCGGATAAAAGTTTGCTGGACTATATAAGTAGAACTTTCAAACCATGCTCAATAGTGGACAAATTCCCTATACCATTAGGACCACTAGATTGTCCTCAAATATTAGGTAAGAGGGACACAACCAGTTTATACATGGCTGCACTTAGCAATTTTGCACTATATAAAGGAAGAGTATGATGCCTACTATGTTTCCCATGTTTAGCATGACCTAATGGTGTAGCTAATACATTGATAACTGCATATCCTGCTTATCTCTCTCAACGTAGTGCAAACAAGTCTGGCAATGGCTACACATTTGTGAAACCTGTAACAATTACATGAAAACACTGAACAGTAGTCCCACCTGATGATTGATAGAACCCTACAAGGTTATATCGTGACCTAACACATATTATTGCTAACTAGTTTATAACTGAGTGTTTCATAACTCAAACAAACAGTGATTCATCAAAGGAAAACATGTAGACAAGTCTAATGCTAAAGACTCACTTTTTTCATTGATTGTAATTCCCGTCCAAATGGCTCTAGGAACTTCATATCTATATCAAGGGGCCAAACCTGCATACAAGGGAAAAGCATTGTTAAGTTTTAAACAAGATCATATAATTCACATTGACTTGCTTCGAAAGATGACCAAATTATCTAATAAACATCAATGTAAAGCATAGAGTATGAAGCCAAGCCCTGCAGGTGTGTAATAAATGTAAAAAAAAATGAACATGTGATGTATTCAAGTACACAATCACTATGATGTGAACTGATTTAGAGAATAGTCTCTTATTTATACTACAACAAATACGACAAAATCGACCACACAACCTGTCCAATAGCAAGCGAGGGATGGCAATTGATGATATAATCAATGACAGTTTATGCATGAATGGATGAATCAAAGACGGCTTATGCATGAATGAATGAATCGATGATCAACCACAGGACCGGGGCACATATAGTTGAACGAAATCAACCACGAGTACCATCACGAAACGGCCTTAACACCATATATAGAATAACTAAAAACTACAACAACCACATATGAATCGCGATGGAATTCCTAACATACTGGAGAAGGAAACGGATGGATTCGTACCTTGAGCCCCATGAGCCTTAGAGGCGCTTGTTGTCCGGGCACGATGCACTCCGGCCCGGCGGCTTCCGCGAACGCCTCCATGGCCAGCCCCTCCCCAATCGGATCCGGATGCTGCGGAGCAATCAACCAACCTCCAGAATTAGCCTTCCCCACCAAACCAACCCAACCGCAATCAAGCCAGGGGAGGGGGAAGGGTGCGTACGTACCTTCATGATGGCGAGGGCGTAGGCGGCGGAGTCTTCCTGCGTGGCAACGCGGAGGACGGGGGCGTGGTGGATGCGCGGGACGGGCCGGATCCCCTGCCCCGCGGCGGTGGCCGCGGTGGCGCGCCAGGGCGCGTCGTCGCCCGCGAGGAGCGGCCGCTTCGAGCCGGCGTGGGGGGATATGGACGAGGCCGCGGCGGCGGTGGTGGCCGCCGGGAGCGCGGCCGGTGAGGAGGTGGTGGTGGTGAGGGACGCCATCGGATAAGGCGGAGAAGGACGAGGAGGAAGCGTTCCGTTTGCGTGTTGGGCTCGCTCGCGTGGGGGAGGCGAGGCGAGAGTCGGGGAGGCTGGGGGGAGGGTCTTTTATTAACCGCGCCGCGGGGTGTCTGTGTGTGGCGTGTGGGGCTGAGTTGGTCGGTCCGAACCAGCCGACGCGGTGCGTGTGTGGCTCTGGGAAGGCGGGGGTGTGGCGTGTGGGAGGTTGGTTGTTGAGCTGCTGGATCCATGACAGGTGGGGCTGGAGCTTTGTACTGTTCAATCACGCGCTGGAACGATTCGACTTTGCTTGGGTGCCTGGCAAAAGGGTTCATCTGTCAGTCACTCAGTCACGTACCGATATGGAATGGTCAAAGTTTTGATGCGGCTTAACCCAGCGCCTGTTTAGTCTCCATAAGTCAGGTGACTGAAAACCAGTGACTTATAAGTCATGTCTGTTTAGTTATAGATGACTTATAAGTTCATTAAAGGTATGGACCCCACGCGAAAAAGAGTGACTTATAAGTTTTAAACAGAGGTGAACCAACTTAAAAACTTATAAGCAGGGGTGACTTATAAGTTGGTGGTGTTTGAGAAAATAAGTTACTTTTTTACTTTTTAACTTATAAGGAGGTGACTTATTTGGAACAAAACATGCCCTTAAACTGTCTTAAGTAGGAGGCGGTCTACCTCTGCAAAATTTAAACAAAGTTCGTATCTTGACGTCCTTTTTAAAACACCATATTTAATTTTAAGTTGGTGTTGTATTCTCTTTACTATGGTAATATTTAAATGCTAGAATTGTATTTTTTTCTAGGAGGAAGTACATATTTTCAGTTGAACTTTTGAAATCAAATTGCAATATCTTTCCATGTACTATGTACTCCATCCGTTTTAAATTATAAGACGTTTTGATTTTTCTAGATACATTAATTTTGTTATACACTTAGATATATACACTATGTCTAAATACATAAAAAAAGAAAATATATCTAGATTTAAAACGGAGAAAGTATATGATAAAAACAAAATTATATATTTAGATTTTCCCCCCTCTATGAACTCACATTCATAAAATCTTACGATCTCCGGTCGAGGTACCTACAAGATTGAAAAAAAACTGGTCTCCAACAACCCCCTATCTAAACTCTTAACCTTTCTACACTTGGGAAAATCAATCCAATCATGCGGAAATATACGCGTGCGTATTGATCGGCCAATCTAAAAGTGGAAGGACGTGAGGGTAATAAGGAGTATGACAGGGTTTCCAATGTAAATGTACAAGAGAGAAAGAAAATATAAAAATAGTTAGGTGATTTGAAAATAGTTCAAAATTCCAAGTGCAAAATTGTAGCAAGGAAGTTACGAGCAGCCAGCCAACCAAACTTTTTTTTTTTCGTTCTGCCTCAACACGTGTGTGTTACACATGCATCGTCACTGGTATATATAACGTCTGATGTAATTTAAGAAATCTTTTTGTTCAAGGTTGATAACGAGGTGAGTACGATAATTTTTTCAAACTCAAGATATACTGATCTATTCTCTCATATACCGCATCACAATGATAAAATGTATTTTGGCACGTTGGCAATATGATAAAACGTGGTGAGTTCGTAGTAAATCTCAAAGTGTATTAGCTCAGTCTCTCGTATATACTATTCATTCACAAGGATAAGATGTACATCGGGGCGTTTAGGAAAGGAGATTTTATATAACTAAAAAAATCAATAAATCATAGTAGTACTTTTTTTTGAAGGAAAATCATAGTAGTACTTGCTTGAGCACATACGTGCCAATTCAAATTCAATATTCCAGCAAATATGTTTATAAAAAAAAATCCAACAAGGCAGCAACTATGAATCATAGCAGTTCAACTATTGGTCTCAGTTCTGTCCACGTGCAAGAAGACATTGGTTGATCTTGTTTATCATGAAGAATCACCTTACAGATGATCGCTTTCGTTGGGATCATATCGCTTAATCCGCTGTCAATGCCGCCGCCACGTTTACCGCGGAAGACTTTCACGTCGACGTCGAGCTCCATCGTGCCGTTGCTCCACTCCAACGACAAGCGGTCGCGAAGCTGGTCCGACAGCCCCACGCCGTCGCCCCGCGCCGCCACCTCCAGGGCCTTGTTCCAGCGCTTCCCCGCGCAGTCCCGCGGCTCCATGGTCGCCCAGCCGAGCACGACGCCCGAGTACAGGACAGTCAAGTCCGCGCGGTCGACGCACGTGTTGCGAAGATGGAGGGTGAGGTTGAACTCCGGCGAGAGCACCGCGGCGACCGGCCCCGACCCGATGCCGTCGTAGCCGGTGAGGTGGGCGGAGAAAAACGGGAAGCTGAGGTACGCCATGTACTGCAGGACGACGAGGCAGATCGTGCCGCATACGATGAACGCGAGCCATCCGGCGGTGAAAGTGTAGGGCCAGCTAGCCGGCGGTGCGCGGCGGCCGTGGCGACTTTGACCGGACTCCGCTGCTCCGCCGTCATGCGGACCGGCTTGCACCGCGACGACGTGTTTGTTGCCGACGCGCTCACCCATGTAATCTAGTCTTGTCGTCGCGCCCGGCCACGTGCATGCTAGATTTAAGTTTCCCCTTGAGATAAATTAACTCCGCCTGCGTGCGTGATCGACCTATTCGTGTCCGTTTTCATGGGGGGAGAGAGAGAGAGAGAGAGAGAGGAGTTCGGCCCGGATCGGAGTTCTTGCAGAGCACGAGTCTCTTCCTGCTATATATCGACAAACGAGAACAGGCTCCATCCTTAGGCGAAGCAATAATAATCACCGGTTAATTATTGGCGCATCGATGACCACCGGCGACAGCTCCGGAGATGAGCAAGGCGGCGGCAAGAGGCCACGTTCGCTGCTGCAAAGGTACCCGCTGGTGGGCTGGTGCTTGACTTGCGCCATCCTGGTGGGCTTCGGAGCCTTCGCGGTCTACTTCTTCGGGGACGTCTTCTACCACACGCCCGAGTTCAAGGCGATGGTGTCCGCGTACGAGGGGCTGGACGACCCGGCTCTCACGGACGCGGCGCCCACGTTCCGCGTCGCGCTCCGTGTCAACAACGAGCGCAACATGCGCCAGTTCTGCGCCGAGCGGGGGAGCGTGGCCGTGTCGTACGCCGGCGTGCCCCTCGCGCGCGCCGCCCTCCCGGCGTTTTGCGTGCCAAGGTGGAGCGTCGGGACCGTGCCCATCGTGGCCACGGGCGAGGGGATGCGGGGCATGCCCACTGGGCTGCACAGGCTCATGGAGGGCCAGCGCCTGCAGCGGGAGAGGGTGCCGCTGTCGGTGCAGGTAACCATGGACAAGTTCACCACCGACTCCTTCGAGCCGATGCTGGTGTGGTGCAGAGCCATGCTGGATGGGCAGACCGTGAGGCCGCCGTCGCTCTGCTCGCGCTTCTCCGTTTTTGATCTCAGGCATGCTCTAGGTGGTTGGGTTAGCTATCCCAGTTTGTAAGCACAACTTTTTCTTCAGGTATGTATAAATAGTGTCCCGATTGTGCGTGCTAGTGTGCTACACCAGTTCGGCATGTCCATCTGTGTAAATTTTCTGGATTTGGGATGTCCTTTTTTGTTCGTAGACATTCCTCGACTTAGCAGATTGGCGGGCACTCAAAAGTTTACCGGATTCTTAGATGCACCCAGGAGACTAGGAGAGCCTAGATATATAATTTTCAACCCTGTTTCTTGGGACGACATCTTAGAACTTGTTTGGTGGCGCTCCGCCGCTCCGGCACCGGCACTGCCGAGGAGACGCATCAAACGGCAATGAGAGATGAGTATTTCTGCGCGCGTTCGGAGGAGTCAGAGCTCTTTTTCACATACACAGGCGGAGCCACAATTAGCATATCTCTGGCTCTCAGTCTGGTGGAGGAGCCAAACCCATGCAAAGCCGTGCCAAACGCGGGCTCTGCCTCTAGTGGAGGAGCCCACCCACGCAAAGCATGGCAGAATCGTCTAATATAATGTTTCTCAAAAGTACTTGTTTTCTATTAGACACTAAGTATTAAAGAGATGACACTAAACTATGTAATTTCGTTGAGCACACTTTAAGGGAGAACTCAGGAATCCATATATTTCCTTCAGGATTATAAATGAGAGAATAAAGTTTACAACATTCTTAAGTCAGTTCTTACATCACTTTATTACAGTACTAGAATATTACTTTAATTTATTATAACAGCGAAATATAACAATGTTATCAGAGTTATAGAGGAAGCAGGATTAATTTAACGATATGGTGGAACATTAACATAGTGAATATTTTTATATAAGAGATGCTAGCAGATTTTACATCTTTTCTTATAAAAACCTTTAGTGAGAGTTATAAGTAAACATTACGGTCGTAGCGTGAAAGGAATCCTCTCTGGGCCCATAAGGAGGTTTCCACACACGAGAGTCAGCTCTAGGTATCCTCCGCTCACCTGCAACAGGAGAATAAAACCCTGAGTACTCGATTGTACTCAGCAAGACTTACCCGACAGGAGAAAAATAAAAGACTCCAATGATATACAAGGCTCTCTGGCTTGTGGGTTATTGTATATGCGGAAGCATTACTAAACGTGCACCCTTATATTCAATTTTATTAGCAATCATCATTAGTTCATTAACTAATCATTCTATGTAAGCACTTATGCTACTTTCAAGTAAATGGTAAGCAATCAGAATCATTTTACTATCCTTCATATTCTAGTTCTTACTACGGCGCTAGACCATAGCCAAGTCGGTATCGTCTCATAGAAACGGCGATTCGCGAATAATGTATCACAGCTGGGTACCCCGAAACACACGCATCGCTTCTACCCCAGGCACAAATGAGACCAACCCATTCCACTCCTGTCGAGGGGTCTAGGTGCCCGTCCAAACTTAGACTTCAAGCCCCCACATTTAAGACCCGGTCTTAGTACGGTGCTTAGACCTTCACATTTTCCCGCCTCCAATCAGTCGGTCTGGAAAGAGCCGGAACCCATGACATGAGCGTAACGAGCCTTTCCGCTCTCATAAGCAAGTATGTGCTCAGGATAATAAGTATGTGACCTGACTACCATCCACAGCAACGGATGATCCTCAATCGACACAAGCGGAACAAGTGTAATTTGAGCCTCACTCGAATGCCTAACCAAGTCCAGATCTAAAGTACCATTCCGTCCGGTCTTTAATTATTATCCATATATATTCCATGTAATAGTAATATAATAACAACAATAATATCTTTCCTATCTCTCGCGAGTGACAGGTAATCACTCGACTTCTACCGGATCCTATAGCATAGCAATCTACACGATCTTGACATACTAGTATGACTCATAGGATAAGGATATATATATATATATATATATATGCAAATGGTTTTTATTCAACTCCTTAAAACTTAATGCACAGGTATAAATAAAGTGCAGAATAATAGAGGTTATGCACCGGGGCTTGCCTGAGTAAGATATAACTAAAAGTTAGCATTCCATCATGGTGACACAATCATCAAGGCACCAACTTTTCCACTACTTAGTCGACTCCATGATCTATCGTTGTCCCTATTATGATATACGTGGATGCAACGCAGAAACATAAATAATCAACGGCGACTGCAACTCTAAAATACGATTACGCTCCACAAGCTAACGAGCTAGCTTTAATGACTAACATACTAGTCTACGTATCCACGTCGTCAAGTAAATATTTTAATTCTAAAATCCCAAGGTGTTTTCGCATTTTATCGATTAAACAAATATTTTCAAACTAGGGCTCATTTTAGCTACCTTAGCAAACTAATTATTATGGAGCTACCAAAATTACAGTGAGCACCTAATAATGTTAGGAATTTACCGTGAAAATTTCAGAACCAACAATATCACCAATTTATCACAACAATTACTTCAAGTTTATATCTTAACAATATTAAGGGCATCAAATTAATTAGATTACTTCTGAAAATATTATAAACTATGTGAACAAAATATACTAGCAGATAGATCATGATTTTAGAAACTTAACAAAATTGGTTTCATAATTTTTTGGTTAACTACACAATTTTATATTGAATTTACAAATTTATCTTAGAAATTAAATTAGAAAATGCATTAGAAAAAAGGAAAGGGCCGGCAACAACACCTCCTGGCCCGACAGCCCAGCGTGACGTGGCTGCGCGCACGTCACGGCGGCCCCAGTACGGCCCAAGGCCGGGGGTGCCCGCGCGCTGGCCGTTTTGCAGAAAGACCCTTGAGCTTTCAAAGCTTAATACGACTATTATGCGTACTATTTCTACCGACAGTAACTTTACAACCAAATCCTCGGATGCTTTTGCCTTTACCACGGGTAGGTCCTTGGGATCCCCGCGCGCGCTGACGCGGCGGCCGACGGCACAAGGCGGTTACGTCGGGGAAACTAGGCTCGCTACGACGACATTAAGGGGCTAACCACCATCTACAGCTAAACGCGCAAGGATGGGTGGCGGTTAGAGACTCGGAGGCACACTGTCGCGGGCTGCAACGGCGAGTTGCTATCCGCGGCGGTGGCGCGACTATTCCGGCGAGCCTACGTACGCTTGGCAGAGTAGAAGTGGCGAATAAGCATCAGTAGCTCACCGTGGTGTACGCCCTACTGATGGTTGAAGCAGGGGAGCGCTGCGACGATCTAGCCACGTGCGACCGAGCGATGCGACGGCGCTCGGTGATGGACACCAGAGCGTCACCCCACCAACGACAAGCACCCTGGCCAAAATAACGCGAGCAACGGATGGAGAGAGTTAAGGCGAACTCAGGGTTACTAGCAATTCAACTGTTACCACTCCTACAGGCCTTACCCCTAACCCTCTGGTCACGGTGGTGCACATGACCGGCGGCGAGGAGAAACCGAAATTGATCATTGACAGACCACGACTGGGCTCAATGGGAATGTGATGCCTAGCTAACTTGCTAAGCTACCCACCGGTGCGAGGAATTGGACAAGGAAACCTCGGGCTGGTGCTTAAGAAAGGGAGAGCGGTGCACTGCCACCGCCACATCACGGGAAGCGGCGCCGGTAGAGATGGCCCGACCATGACCCGACGAGGCACGACAGCGCGGGGATATGACCGCTCGAGCTAAGGATAGGCGGCGCGTTAATTAGCGCTTGGACGAAGCCATTGAAGGTGTGCCCGCGTGCGGCCACGCGCACGCAGCAGCACGGCGTCGCGATGCAATAAACTACGTACGACGTTGAGCTCAGACTCGGTAGGTGGGTTGTGTGGCTGAGGGCAAGCGTTGTAGTAACCAAAACAACAAGAGGACAAGGCACAGCCCTGCAGGTGCGCTTGGACAGCACCACAGTCGGTAGTTTCCCATGCACGGCGGAGAGCGACTACGGCCACGCCCCCCCCTATGGGTAGCCGATGCCACACGGCTGGTCAGCGGGACAACGGTCACGGCCACAGAGTACGCCAGCCAACGCGCGGCGCAGCGCATGGTAGCAGCGGCCGGCAGCGGTGTAGGTAGCCCACGACGGCGCGACACCGGACACAGTGACCGTGTCCCTGGGCCCGAACATCCGAACCACGTGTGAAG